GACAGTGAGCTGACGAGGAAGTCCTGGCTGGATCGCAAAAGGTGCGCCAGTGTCTGCTGTATGGTGGTTTCTGGTGTGCCGCAAGGTAGCCTCGTCTGGCCCGGGGGCGGTGAAATGGAGGAGGGCGAGATGGAAGTAATCGTCGTACTGGAACTCTCCTGCCCTGAAGGCGAGTCAGACGACTTCCAGGGCTGCCAGGTCATCGAGGAGGTCCGCTGGCGACAGCAAGGCTCCAAGAGTCGGTGTTCCTCGAGGTTCTGGGTCATGGCTTGAAGAAGGGAGAGAAGAACAGTGTTTGGTTCATGAAAAATACTTTCAAAATTTGTGTGACCATTGCTGTGAAAAGTACCGACTTCCCCCAGAGACCCCACACATGTAACATGTAGAGACTGAAATAGCCACTTCTGGCTTATTACCCGTCAAAGCAGAAGGAGACGAGTGTGGCCCACAAGGCGATCGGGGAGCGTCCTATCATCATCGATAACCGTACCTGCTGGAGGTAGTGGTTTATTAGCTGACAAACTCAATACCCCGAACCTCAGGAATTTACAATCTTTCTAATCGCTGGCCAACATGGGACTATATTTCTACCAGCGGCAGTTAATCCTGCCCTATTTGAAACTCTTGAAAAGTTAACTGGAGTAACGAACTAGGATCTCGGCTAAAAAAATAATTTCCTTGGGTCGATTTGTAATATCCGCGAGGAGGCCAGTTTTTTAATGCACGTCGCTTCGTCCGCTCTTTAAGAGTGGCAGCAAATATGATGTCCCCCCCTCCCCCTTACCCATTTTCGATATCTCTATAATTTCAAACTCTTTTTTCTTAAACAGAAGATGCACACAAAAATATCATTTCTTGCAATCAGTTGGGTGCAAAAAATAGTCGAAGAAACAGCATCTTTAGGTCTATAAGAGTTTGCTAACCATTCCATTTTTAAGATCGTGCAAATTTGACCTGCTACTCTTTATAAAGTTTACGGTATACTCCTGTGTGCCCTATAGAGCAACTTAAAACCTCAGAGGAATGTATTACTTTCCCTAAATGCAAGGTTCAACGACTTGTAGTTGGGAACATAGGTGTAAGGTCAGATCGGATTTAAAAATAATGGGAAACTGAGCTAGAAAAAGTAATTTCCCATAAAATGATTGCTAGAAAGGCTATTTTGAGTATGCCTAGATGTAAAAAGACGTCGAAAATATTTTTTAAACCAGACTACAGATGTTCTCCCCTTTAGCGAAAGTGATTTTTGGAGGCTGTTGAAAATACTCGGACTCAACGGTCCGGCATCCTGACATGAATGGAATATCCTGAGATCATGTCATAAGTAAATCAATATCACAGGCATGCTTCAGTAAAAATTTCTAACTAAGATCCTATTCAAGAACCCTAGTTACTGTTTCATAAAATACACCAGTTAGCGCAAAAGTGTGATGATTTCCAAGCTTGCCACCTATTGTTATCTATTTCGGGCTGTATTTAGCAGAGTGAACGGTTACTATTATAAGCGCTCATAATTAATTAGCTTGGCGAACTTTGTGGGTTGTCTCATTCCTGGTTCCACATGCCGAAATTGACAGCAACTCCCTCCTAGGAACACTAAAGAATGCCCACGTATGCTGGTTGCGCATAAGCGTTTGTCCAATTGCAAATATTGTCAGTCTGTAAACGAACAGACATTTGCATAACGATGCGTATATCAAACCATCTTGTTAACTCTCCATATTTGCCTTGACTGAGGACTATAATTTGCCTGATATAGGATTCTAAACGCTTTTTAAATAACCACCGATTCCAATAGGTATCTGCAGAAGGCCAGATATCTTCGAAAACCTATCAAGGACAGTAAATTGGGGATATAAATCGCATTTTTAACAGTACCAGCCTAGTAGGGAAATAAGACCGCGCATGCACGGCTTACTTGCCACTGAGAAGAAAACGACTGGATAACTGTGTCCCAGCGATCGAGTCGTCTTCTTCTTAATTACTTCCTGGGACTCGCACGTTCGCTTGTATTGGTTACTTGCCACTGTTAGCCACCGTTTAAAGTGTCCGATTGGCGGTCAGTTCCCCATCTGCTGCGAACCTGGAAGCAGTTTAAGCTGGTCGGGCCTAACTGCCAGACGAGAGTCTGGTGCGGACGTTGGATCTCAGATCTACCCATTTTCCAGTTAAGGTATGGGTGGATCAGTGAACAGCACAATAACCTCCACCGATGCGACAACTTGCAGCATGCCTGACTCTTACAGCTGCACCCGGCTGCCTAAGTGAAATTAAACATAGCCAGTCCGCCAGTCTATCCGCCCAGGAAATTAAGTAATCAGAAATGCCGACATATTTTGAAAATGTTGTACGCTTCTGAGCTTCTAAACAAGTGTGTCGCAAAGGATTCATCTAACACAGAAGTAAACTTGTTGTCGACACATGACCATTCCCCATACTATGCTCCCGAGACCAGCTGTCTGGTAACTTTACCATCCTTTCACCATACTTCGACTCAACGACAATATCTGCGCACCTTGGAAGTCATAGATTCTAGTCATGTCGTAGCAAATAAATTAGGCCCGCGAGCGTTTCCCAAAACGGTAAAATACACTTGTGTACGTTAGTGTTATAAAGTAATACTTACTAGGCAGGTTCGAAGGCTTCCTCGGGTAAATGCAGAAAGAGATGAGAACGAGGTCCGTGACACGTGCCTCACTGTGGGTCAATGCGTTTGGAAATGACTTTGCTGGATCCTCCCCTAGTAGAACTGGTTGACACCTTGATCTCGCTGTGCTTCACGAAAAGGCGATTGGTCGAAATTCACTTGCTCACTGTGGGCGGGGGGAGGTTCGTGAGCGCAGACTAGCAAACAGACGCTGGCAGCTGTTGTTTCTCGCCTTCTGATTGGCTGCCCCGGTGGACTGAGCGCACGCGAGCTGAGTAGGTATAAACCAATACGAAACAAGCTTCTACTCAAGGCGGCAGAGGAATGCGAAAACGTTCTCATCGGTCCATTACCTATTCCGTTTAGCAGTTACACCGAATTACTAACAAAAGGGGCATTTTAAGAGATGCTAAAATTTCTCGAAAGGTCAGCAAAGGCGCGTCAATGAAACAACATCAGCAATTACAAGAGGCCGCTGTTTTGCACGCCATATTTGTAGTCGGTGATTGGGATTAAGGTGAAAGTTCTCTAGGAAGACCGAAAATAGCAGTTTGTTTCTGGAGGTCGATGTAGATCGTTCTACTATTCATAGGGGGTTTAGTGCACCAATTCAAAATATTGTTTTCTTTGAATAAGAAAGGTGAATGAATTTTTTCCACTATTGTGAGTGTATCTCGGGAGCAAGAGAACACTACGGGAAGGAGTGCCCAGGCTTACTGATAGATTACCAAATATTGAAGTCGACTAGTTCACATGTGGTTGGGAATTGTGCTCCGAAATGGTATTGGTCGTGAGGAGAGGAAAGGTGAAGCTAGTACCGGAAAACCCAGAACAAATAGATGAGGCCACATTTTAATTGCACCGTATGCTTATTTGCGGCCACCTCTTAGATGGAAATGCACAAGCTGAAGAAAATTATGGCGATCCGGTACTAAATTATTGGAACCAGGGCTCACGCAGCGATGGTCCATGAATCTTAGGCTTGGGTCAGGGTAGTTAGGTACTTCTACATACACAAGCGAGAGTGACGTTGATCTCTATGACTGAACACGAAGTAGAAACAAATTCAACAATGCATTCTAGCGAATGGCCGGCTTATCGGGGACTTCATCAGGCTGGGTAAGATCCACAAATCATAAATTTGCAGAAAAGTTACGCTGATCCGAATGCAGGTGCACACACCCGGGAAAATTTCTTAGAAAACCTGATTCAAATTTTAAAGGAAAATCACAGAGTTCTGCAGCATTTACTTTAAGGACATTTGGATGAATACTGCTTCTGTGTTTTGGAAGGACATTAAGCCCACTTCATAGCAATGCTACGCGATATTAAAGAAGCAGTTACTGCTTATTTATTGTTTATTAATTCAAGTTTCATTTTCGCGATGTAGACGATACATTTCATGCCTGTTACTAATTTATGATTAGTACCTATTAGGGCAGAAAGCACACTATAGGAGCATCGACTGCTTTTACGCTGACATAACCTGCTTTATTACGGAAAATATCTCTACAAACATCATGGTATATTTACAAATTTTGGAAATAGAATGTGTAAGCGGCTGACTTCACATGTCCCAGTGTGGATGCAAAACTTTGAGAGGTAGAGGATTTGGCGACAGTTGTTTTGTCGGAGGTTATATCATCGAGCACATCCGTTCAGACTGCAGCGCCCTTGGCAACTTGTAATCAGGTCGTGTCTCATAGAATGTCGTAAGTTAGA